TTCAAACTACTGCACCCAGGGATAAAGATTGTAAAACAACGTACTCCTAAAAAAGACCAACAGGCGCCCCTGGCAGACCGTGCTCTGCCGGGTTTCGGTCCGCACCGAGCGGCCCCACTGGGGGGGCACATGCCGCAACAGCAGCCAGCCTCCTCCCAGCTTGCTCTCCACTCCTGCTGGCCTGCACACACGGTCCGTGGCGAGGTCCAAGCCCTCAGGGACCCACTGTCATGGCCTCTGTGTGGCTCTGGGAACACCCTGAGCCCTATCGCTCCAATGGGACTGTGTGCCAATGGCACTAGGGTCTGCCAAGACTTCAGCACAGCCCACAGAGCTTTCTGCCAACGTGCAAGTGCCCTGGCTGCCCACTGAAGACCATCGCACCCCCTGTGGGCCATGCCCCACGCGTGCCTGACTCTACTCGTTCAAGGGTCGGAAATGTTCTGCATCCACTCGTTTAACGGCCTCCCTCCTGCCAAACCTAGTGGCAACAGGACAGGGACCTCACTTGTCTTTTTCTCTGTGACACACCAGCGTCACCGGCAGTGCCCACCGAGCGTGCAGAGGTTCTTCAAGAGCAGCAAGGAGCAAGAGGCCTTCAGGGTCTGGCACCTCGGCTCTGGGGTGCCTCGCGGTGGCTCTGTGAGGGAGAAGCAACAGCAAGCCCCACCTTGAGACCTAATACTAAGCATCTGTTGCACAGCTGCCCCTGCCCACTGCTGAAGCTGCTTGCCTGGGGCTGGGTTTGAATTGGCTCTGGCACACCCCACCGCTACAGAGAATGGGAAGCTGGGAAGCCCCATTTCCTGGCATGAAGCTTGTTTAAAATAACACGAACGGCCTGCAGCTAGCAGGGCACCCACCCTGACGTGGACCCGCACCTGTCCCCGGAGGCCCATACCACCCCAGCGTTCTCGTCTGTGGCCAAGTATCCGAGCAGTGGCGTGAGAGACAAGAGGAGAAGCTCAGGAGGATGCAAAGGGTAAGAAGAAAGCACTTCAACCGTGCTCTAGCTCTGGCAGGATTCTGGAAGGCAAAGGCAGTCCGAGGCTCTTTCGGGTAAGAGCAGACAGTGCTCTGGAGGTCTGACAAGGTTGGAGCCTGAGAAGAGGAAGGGCATCACACATAGATGCCTGCCCCAAGCCAGAGAGAGAGTCGGCGTCCTTCAAGTGATACAACCACCTCTGAGAGAAGAAACGGCTCACTCTGTAAACCAAAAAATCTAAAGTAAAAAAAAGTGAGGACCTAGCCTACCGCCACCCTCCCGGACTCAGCATACTTGGGATTTTGTCTCTTAAGGCCAAACACTCACGCTTACCACTGTTTCTCAAACTTGAGAACACAAGATCCCCTAAATCCAGCCAGGACCAAGCTGGAAAAGTTGTAACTTTAGGCATATAATTGGCACCCAGACTTTCTATAACAGGCACAAACCCAGGCTTAGAAATTGCAGACCAGTATTTGGTCAACAAGACTGTCACCAAATTAAAAGAAGAACATTTCAACAGTCCTATAGAGAATTCAGAGACACAAAAGAATACGCCCACAAACCCAGCTGGGAGCAATGCCCCATGCCCCGCCCCCCCCAGCCTGTCACGCGTGAAGAAGAGAGGGCAGCTGGGATGGGGGACTGAGCTGGGTCAGGCTGGGAGGACCAAGAAGAGGCCCCAGGTGAGCACCAAGAGAGGCACAGGTGAGACTCAAGGTGAGGAGTCAGGGGGTCCAGAGCCAGGGCTCCCAGGGACCAATGCCAGACCCTTTCTCCTGGGCTGTGAAGACCCCCACCTGATTTGGGTAGTGGTAAAGAAGGTCTCTAAAATATTACTTTACTTCAGTTTTCTGAGGGGAAAAACAGAAGTCAATATACCAAAATATTAACAGGATGATTAGCAGAATAATTCGGAAAGTAAACATAAATCACTTTTATAAGAGAACACTTTTTTTTTTTAAAAGATTTTATTTATTTGAGGGAGAGTGAGCACGAGCAGGGGGAGCAGAAGAGCGAGAAGCAGACTCCCTACTGAGCAAGGAGCCTGATGCAGAACTCAATCCCAGGACCCTGAGTTCATGACCTGAGCTGAAGGCAGACGCTTCACCAACTGAGCCAGCCAGGTGCCCCCAAGAGAATACTTTTAAAAGCATAATTAAAACAGGGCCTCCAGTTCAAGGAGCTCACAGGTAGACTCACAGCCAGGCCCAGAACACAAAAGTGTGTCCCACGAACCCCACTCTCCCTGCTGTTTTAAGAACATAAAAACAAGTTCCACAAAGCAAAATCCACTCCAGTGGTTCTCACCAGGGCGATTCTGCCCCCCAGGGGACATCTAGCAATGTCTGGAGACATTTTGGGGGTGGACAGAAGCCAGGGGTACCGCTAAACTTCCTATAATGCACAGCCCCCACTACAAAGAACCACCCAGCCCGAAGGTCCACAGGCTATTGAGAGGCCTGTGCTGGCCCAGCTCCCCCCAGGACTGAGGGCTCAGTGAAGAGAGGGTGTCCAGCTCAACGCATGCGGCTGCATATGTCACGACCATGCCATTCTCTACCCACTGTACCAGGAGGCAAGACCAGTGCCCACCAGGTACCCAGGAGCCCCCCACCAGCCCTGGGGCTGTGAGGAACCTGGCCGGGTTTGCCAATCCTCTGAATAGCAAGGAACCTCCATTGAGTCCAAGGAGGAACTGCCTGTCAAGAAAGCAAGGAGCACTCGGCTCCTGGTACCCTGCATACACCTTTCAGAACTCCAGCCCCCCGACCCTCACTCCCCTCTCCCTGCTGTCTGCACAGTGCCCCTGCCGCCCTGAGGCACCTGCATCTGGACCGTGCTCAAGACCGTGACCAGCACAGCTCCTAAGTATTCTGTATTAATTCTGTATTAACTTATGCTTCTAAGTCAAGGGTCCCTAGTTTCCCAGTGAAATTTCCGCATTATCCAGTAGGAATCACTCCTAAAAACATCTAGAAAAAAACGTCAACTCTCAACAATGACACATGTTGATCCAGACAATCTGTGAGGGAAAATGGTGGAAGTAACTTCTCTGATTTCAAAAATTCACTTAAATCATTCTAAAGCAAAAGTAAAACTCCTTTTAACCGGGCAAGCTCACTTGAAATGACACTGTAATATCTCTTTACCTGTATAACTATCTGCAGGATTGTTTTTAATCAAAGGCTATTTAATAAGTCTGGAAATCAATCACGGTCAGGATTATAAAACCACAGAAGAGAACCTGGAGGGGAAATCCCTTCCTGTCTGCTGTTGCCCACACTCACCAGCCAGTCCCAAACATGATAAACTGCCACAGTTCTGTCAGTTCCAACGTCAGACCTGGGGGTAGGCTGAGTGAGACAACAGCCCAGCAATTAACGGCTCCCCCACGAAAGCCTCATTTATTTGTTTGTTTGGTGGGGGAAGGAGGGATAAACATCAACCCAAATGATGTTTCGTTGGGGGCCTCAGGTGGGGTGATGTCATGGTTTCTCTGAGCCACAGGGTCTTCAAGGAGTTGAATACAAAAACACCCACCACCTAATCCTAAAAGGGCCTGGACAACAGGCATCTGGTACGAGTGGCAGCGCTCCCCTATCCTCCCTGATCAAACAAGGTACAGAGAAACGGCACTGCTCCACCGCTAGTCAATGAAAAGCAACAAAACCTCGCTTCTGCTTTCGGGCGAGGACTGCCCAGGGCAGTCTGACTCGAGTAGTGACGACTACTCCAGGCAGCACGGAGTCCCCCGATCCACCTGGGGTGGCCCTGGAGCTATCATTACCCACGTGTGACAGAAGTCAGCAATCTCAGAGCAGGTAAGTACCCTGCCTGAGGTCTCCCTGTCAGTGATGAACAAAGTGGTGCGGTATTCGAACCCACCACGCCGCACCCACCACCCCCTGTCGCCACTGAGGGGGATGGGGATGCAGGGGTCTTCCAGGAGGAGAGAAAAGCTTCCTGGCCTCTCAGGGAAGGCGTTCAGAATCACAAATGCCCAGCCACGGTTCTCCTGGGAACGTTATGACCTTGATCGCCTACGGAACTTGTTTCCAGGTGCTTTGTTCTCGTCATCATCAAATCCTCCGCTAACTAGGTAAAGAGCAAGTGCGGCCCCTCCCACTAGAGACCCGGACTTCATGCTCACGGAAGGCGACTTGGCTAAGTGGCCATCCAAGGTCACGCAACTGGCAACCGAGTGGCAAAGGCTGTATTTCAGGTTTGGTGACGCCCCACAAGATGGGTGCCCATTAGGTCGTTAGGTCTCTCTTTACAGGTTCCCTAATTAGAGACTGGAAGGCAACACATCAACACCTTCTGACGTTAGGCTTCCGGGAGGACAGCTGGACACCAACCGTCGGGCACTCCTGCTGGGCGCCCGCGACCCCACACCCTGGAAACCCCGGTCTCCATCCCAGCCCCCAAAGTCACCAGCCTGCCTACCGCAAAATGTCACTGGGGCAGTTCACCTTTTTTTTTGTTCCTTTCTTTCTTTTTTTAGGGCGAAGGGGCCACAATCGGGCTCCGGAGGGCGAAGCGGGGCGCCAGACAGACGCGCTCCACGCCCTGCCACGAAGTCCTCGAAGGCCGGGCAGGCAATGGACGGCCCCACGCCACACCCGCCCGGCCCGAAGGACCCCAGATCCCGGAAAGCCCGGCCTCCCAGACCCGCCGCCGCCGGGAAGCCCGGGGGACCGGCCTCACAGGCCCCCCAGACTCCAGGGAGGCCGGCCCTTCAGACCCCCAGACCTTGGAGAACAAGGCCCTGCAGACCCTCGGATCTTGGGGAGCGCGGCCCTGCCGACCCCCAGACCCCGGGAGACCCGGGAGCCTGGCTCCGCGGAGCCCCCAGACCCCGCAAGCCCGGCCCCGCAGAAGCCCCCAGACCCCGCCCGGTGCCCCAGGCCGCGCCCCGGCCCCCACCCTGACCCTCCTCCCCTCCCTCCGACCCCCCGCGGTCCGCGGGCACCAGCCAAGCGCGGCCGCTCGCCCGGCCCTCAGACCCCACCTTGAGGGTCGGGTACTCCTGCACCTTCAGGGTCATGGAGAGCTGAGCAGCTGACTCCTGCACCGCCATCTTGAATCGGCCAAAACATTAGCGGGTGGGGGAAGCGCCGCGCGCGGCACGCCGGGTAGTGACGTCGCGCCCTCCGGCGGGGGCGGGGCGGGGCGGGGCGAGCCGACGCGCCCGCTCCAATCGCGTCCGCCCACCAGACCGCGGCGGCGGAGGAGGCGCGGCCGCGGCGTGCGCGCGGAGAGGCGTCCGGCCCGACCAATCATCTCTGGCCTTTCTCTCGTTCAGCCAATCAGCGGGAAGCCCGGCTGGGCGGTTTCCTCCTTGAACCCGCGGCCGGGAAAGACAGGCCCTCCGGCCGGGATGCTCCGGCCCGTGCGGGCTTGTGCGCGCGGGGGTCCAGGGCGCCCCCCGGGTAGGGAGGCTGAGGACTGACGAGGCGCGCAGCTGGGGGGGTGCCTGGGCTCCCGGGAGGCGGTCCCCGAGACGGTGTCCCTCCCTCGTGGTAGTGGCCCAGTCGTGTGCGGGCCACCTGAGCGTCCGCCACGTACTTTCCATCGGGCTCCGTGCGGCCGAGTAGCAGCTGCTGGAGTCCCAACGGAGAGCCTTAGGTTCCTGTTGGGCGAGGAGAGGCGGAGTTTTTGTAACTGATTTTCGGGAAAGAAGCTCCCAAAGTGTGCTCTCCCCACCGGTGGCACGTGGCCCTGGGTCCAACACGGTGCTGTAGTTCCTTTCCAACCATTTCACATTCTGTCCTTCCAAAATAATCCTCTTAGTCCCCCTTTTAAACAGAAATGAAATGAGGTTTCATTAATTAGGGGACGACTTTCAAATTAAACCATTTCTCGTGTTTCACATTCATTCCTGAGACAATTTGTTAAAACTTAAACTCAGTGTTGGAAAAACACCTAAGACGACACAAGGGGGGGCTGCTATTGGGGGAGCGGGAGCCACCTCGGCCCTCTGCCCCCCACCTCTGCCCAGCCCCCCATGCCATGCAGGTGATGAGAGAACCATCCTGGGGTGAGAAGCAGTTTCCTGTCTGGATCAAGCCAAGTTCCTTGTACCCAGTTGCATCAGCATGAGTGAATTGATCAGGATAATCAGAAGATGCTTACAGCTCAATACTAATCAAGCCTTCTCCCCGTCGGTGAATAGATGCAACATGTCCATGCTCATTTCCAAAGTGTGAAAGTGAGGAGGAAGATAGATTCCTCCTCTGTGTATGGTACATGCCTCTCAGGAGACATTGGGAATGAAATTGGTGTAAGACTAGGGGCTCCTGGCTGGCTCAGTCCGTTAAGTGTGGGACTCTTGGTTTCGGCTCAGGTCATGATCTCAGGATCATGGGGCACTGGGCTCTGCACCCAGTGGGGAATCTGCTTGGGATTCTCTCCCTCTGCCCCTCCCCCAATTTGCACAAAAGTGCACACATCCTCTCTTTCTCAAATAGATAAATCTTTTTAAAAAAAGAAATTGGTGTAAGACAAGAAAAATGCACCTTTCTATGGGAGAAGATATTTGCAAATATCTTATCGGATAAAGGGCTAGTATCCAAAATCTATAAAGAACTTATCAGGGTACCTGGGTGGCTCAGTTGTTGGGCGTCTGTCTTCGGCTCAGGCCATGATCCCAGGGTCCTGGGATCGAGCCCCGCATGGGGCTCCCTGCTCCGCGGGAGGCCTGCTTCTCCTCTCCCACTCTCCCTGCTTGTGTTCCCTCTCTCGCTGTGTCTCTCTGTCCAAAAAATAAATAAAAAATCTTAAAAAAAAAAAACTTATCAAAGTCAACACCCAAAGAACAAATAATCCAGTTAGGAAATGGGGAGAAGACACATACAAACATTTCTACAAAGAAGACGCACAAATGGCTGACACATGAAAAAATGCTCAACATCACTCAGAATCAGGGAAATAGAAATCAAAACCACAATGAGATACAACTTCACACTGGACAGAATGGCTAAAATTAATAAGTCAGGAAACAACAAATGTTGGCGAGGATGTGGAGAAAGGGACCACCTTACACTGTTGGTGGGAATGCAAGCTGGTGCAGCCACTCTGGAAAATGGTATGGAGGTTCCTCGAAAATTTTAAAAAAGAGCTACCGTATGACCCAGCAATTGCAATACTAGGTATTTACCCCAAAGATACAAATGTTGTGATCCGAAGGGACATGTGCACCCCAATGTTCATAGCAGCAATGTCCACAATAGCCAAACTATGGAAAGAGCCTAGATGTCCATCAACAGATGAATGGATAAAGAAGATGTGGTATATATATATATACACAATGGAATATTATGCAGCCATCAAAAAATTGAAATCTTGCCAATTGCAACGATGTGGATGGAACTGGAGGGTATTATGCTAAACGAAATAAGTCAATCGGAGAAAGACAAGTATCATATGATCTCACTGATATGAGGAATTTGAGAAACAAGACAGAGGATCATAGGGGAAGGGAGGGAAAAATGAAACAAAATGAAACCAGAGAGGGAGACAAACCATAAGAGACTCTTAATCTCAGGAAACAAACTGAGGGTTGCTGGAGTGGAGGGGGATGGGAGGGATGGGGTGGCTGGGTGATGGACATTGGGGAGGGTATGTGCTATGGTGAGCGCTGTGAATTGTGTAAGACTGATGAATCACAGACTGAAACAAATAATATATTATGTTAATTTTTTTAAAAAGGGGAAAAAAAGGGATGTTACCAACTGTGATTGATCCCAGATCTAATCATAGTTCATCAGAGTAGTAGTGTTCCCATCTAGTTCTAGGAATTTGTTTTTGTATTTCAAGGAGAAAAACAGAGCTTGAAATTTCCATGTGCAGCTTTGGAAAACTACATTATGTAACCAAGGTTGTCTTGTTTTAAATTTTTAGGAGTTTAAACATAAAATACTGTGGTAATTGAAACCAAAGGTGGTTGAGAACGGAGTCTGGAGGCAGGCAGGGGGAGCTCCAGCCCTACCACTCCCGGTCAACCGCAGACCCAACAGGAAGACGGGCACCTTGCACCTGGATATTACCTTAGCTACCACTCTACCATCCCCGCAGGAAGAAGGAGGGTTTCCTCCTCCCCCAGCAACAGCCCAGCCAGTGAGAGACAATTACAGCCCAGCCAATGAGAGACAGTCAGAGCCCCGCCAATGAGAGACCGCCACAGCCCGGCCAATGAGAGACACTCACAGCCCGGCCAATGAGAGACAGTCACAGCCCCGCCAATGAGAGACTGTCACAGCCCGGCCAATGAGAGACACTCACAGCCCCGCCAATGAGAGACAGTCAGAGCCCCGCCAATGAGAGACAGTCACAGCCCGGCCAATGAGAGACAGTCACAGCCCAAGGTGGAGAATTTTCAATTCTTACTCTGGAATACCTACTGTCTGAGCAGTTTTGTAAATGTAATGTACTCGTCACTGTACTTACCTGCATTCCAGAATTTAAGATGTTTACTGTAAGTTTTTTTTTAAAGACTTTACCTGGGACCTGATTCACTGAAATTTATCACTTCTCTTTAAAAACAGTTGGTCTTGTGAATTTTCTTTGAGTCTTCTCCTTTGTTGTGTACTTAAAATCACTATTGAATCCCTTGAAATGCTTCAAGGGTAACCTTGGGTTTCTGGCACCTTGTCTCTAATGTTTCTTTTGTAATTGGAATAGCTAACAGCTTGGTCACCCTGTCTCAAGCTTTCACCTCTAAATAAAATCCATTGAACTGAAACAACAACAACAACAACAACAACCACCTCCAATGAGAAGACACTACACTTAAACTCCTAGTTTACCCCAATGGACTTTCTGTTTACAACAGCCCTCCCAGCCCCCATTTCCTCTATAAATGGGCCTCCTCTGCCTTATTCTCCTGACCTATCTATGGTTTTGCCCTGGGTTGTTGGCCCTGCACTGCAGTCCTCTGCTATTCCCGAGTAAACCCAGTTTTGCTGGGAAAATAACTAGGAAAAATAGTTCTATTTTGAAGGTTAATACATTACATTCTAAGTTGTCAATAAAATAAATCCTCGTTATCTTTATGCTCTTTCCCAAAAGGAAATGCCATTTGATCATTCCAAGAGACATTAAGTCTTCACTAGAGTAACAGAACCTGCCAAGTTTTTTTAAAAATTGAGATATATTCTACAAACAACATTGTGTGTAAGTTTAAGGTATACAATGTATTGATTTGATACATTTACATTACAACATAATTGCTATTGTAGATTTGGGAATACCGCCATGGGTCATATAACTGCCATTTCTTCCACTGCTGAGAACAATTCAGATCTGATCACTGAGCAAGTTTAATGCTCATAATACATTTTTGTTGTCTGTAATCACTGTACTGTGTATTAGGTCTCTGGGACTGACTGACTTACTAGTTCCGGTATGTATCTGTAAGCCATATCTCTCCCATCCCCCCATCCTGCAACCCCTGGTAACCATCATTAACTCGCTGCTTATGATTTCAGCTTTTTTAGGTTCCACATATAAGAGATATGAATCATGAAGTATTTGTCTTTGTCTGACTTACATTACTCAGCATAATGTCCTCAAGGTCCATCCACTGTTGCAAATGGCAGAATTTCCTCTTTTCTCATTGCTGAGTAGTAGTCCATTATATATATGCACACCACATCTTCTTTATCCATTCATCCATTGAGGGACACAGGTTATTTCAAATCTTTTTTTTTTTTTTTAATAATGGTACCCTAAACACTGGAGTACATATGTCTCTTTGGTATTCTGTTTTCATTTCCTTTGGATGTATACCCACAAGTGGGATTGCTGAATCATATAGTTCTATTTTTAACTTTTTGAGGAAACTCCATATTGTTCTCGATGGTGGCTGAACCAGTTTACATTCCCACCAACAGTGCACAAGGGCACCCTTTTCCCACATCCTCACCAACACTTGTTATCTCTTGTCTTTTTGAGACTAGCCATTCTTACAGGTGTAAGGCAATATCTCATCATGCTTTTGATTTGCATTTCCCTGGTGATTAGTGATATTGGGAACCTGCTCATGTACCTGTTGGCTATTTGGATGTCTTCTTTGGAAAAATTCAGTTTTGGTCTAGTTTCTCTGCCCATTTTTAAGCTGGATTGTTTGGGGTTTTTGTTGTTGTTGTTGTTGTT